TTTCCCTCCCCCTCCCTTCCTACTCTCTCTCTGTAGAAGAAGTGTGCTTGCACACAAAAGCTTATACCTGGAATAAAACATTGCCAGTCTTCTTAAAAGTGCTATCGGACTCCATTTTTCTCGCTCTCTCTGGTTCTTTCCCTCCCCCTCGCTCCCCAGCCAATCAGGCTTTTTTTCTCTCCTCTGCCAAGCAGGAAATAGGAGAGATTGGGGAAAAGGAGCTGTGATGGGAGAAACAGGAAGGAGGAATCAGCAGACAGCCAGTTGCTTGCAGGCTGGATAGAAGTACCACAGGGGCTGGATCTGGCCCATGGGCCATATGTTTGACACCCCTGCTCTAGATGAGTCATGCAGAGAGAAAATACAAGAGGGTGTGCACACGACATTCTCCTTTTCTCTGATTCCCTTTCCAATGAAGTTTGCCTGGCCTGGACCCATCATTTCTGATGTTCGTGTAAAACTCCTCTGTTCCATGGGACTTTTTCTATATAAAATGTTGCTGATAGTTTTTATTGAAGATGTTGGAAACTTATCTTTTTGTTGGGGATGGGGGGCTCGGTGTGTGTGGTTTTGACCTCCTTTAATTTTGTTTTTCATACACTGTTTTATGTTTTTATTGTGGATCCAGTAATCGATGGAAGGCTGACAATATAAATATTGAATAAAATAACTAAGCAAAAAATATAATATTTTAAAATTTGTATCATGTTTATCTGCCAACGGAGACCCTCAGACAGGCTTACAGCTTGCAATTCTATTAAGGTCGAGTTGTATACTGATCTTACATTGAGTACCCCCAACAATTTTGCCCTTGGGAAGTAGAATGTGAAGCCTGGTTTTATCCCTAGTATGTTTTCTTTCTATGTGCAAGGATTTTTTTGATAAGTTTTTTTATTGTTTTTGTTAATAACATTACATACATCAAATACTTTTTGCTTCTACATTAATAATGCAAGGATTTTTTTTTAACAAAGTCAGACAATTCAGACAAGCAAACCTCCCCCTTCTGTATTCCAATGTTCTTATTTATTATTTACTTCATTTATGCCATACCTTTCTCTCTAATGGGGACATTGTTCTTCTGTCCTCTGTTTTATTTTCACAGCAACCCTATTAAGCAAAAAGTTAGTGATTGGCCCAAGGTCAACCCAGTAAGCTTCCATGGCACAGTAAGGATTCGAACCTCGATCTCGCAGATCCTAGTCTGACACCCTAACCACTACACCACATTGGCTTTGCAGTCCCAGTAGGCCTTTATCATATCTTTTTTAAAAAATGTATGGCTCAGCTCTGAGTAACAGGACTAGGAGAATTCTCTTTTTACATGTTGGGTGAGAGCTGTATTTAGGGCTGTCCCCCAATTAAAGAAACCATATGAGTTTTAATTAATCAATTATATCTGCAATGCAAATCTGCATATGAATAAAACAAGAAAAAATATCTTTGCTTTGTATTTAAGATAGTTCCTATTGTGACACATGCATACATTATCTGAGAGGTTATTCTCTACAGTGCCAGAGAAGGGGGAGGCCTGTCTGATAGAGAGGGGAAACACCTCTTCTGAGGTGGTGCCTGCCATCTGCAATTATTGGAGGTTATTATAATAAACATAATTTACATTTTTAAATATCAGAGGCACCTTTATAGTTGACCAATTAATTATAGTTAATCAGTTCATTGGCTGAATGTTATATGGTTTCATTTCTTTGGTTCTTGTTCTGCAGGGAGTTTGCCAAAGAACGAGAGAGAGTTGAAAACCGCCGGGCCTTCCTAAAACTCCGGAGGCAGCAGCAGATTGAAAGGGAACTCAACGGCTACTTGGAGTGGATCTTTAAGGCAGGTGAGGAGGAGACAGTTTTTGGTGCTTTCAGAACATGATGTTATGACAAACTGACATGGCTTGCCTTATCCTTCAGCCAGTTGACCCTGCCCTGCCCCATGGAGCTCAGCCATGCATGCTGAGAACCAAGGGAATTTGGTGTTTAAACTACTTACTTACCCCCCAGAGAGCAAGGAAGTCCCCTCCCCCGTCTGGGACTCTTACATCATCTTGGCTTTCACCAGCAGGAGAATTTGTTTTTATTATCTGTGATTCTAGTTCTCTTTCAAACCAGAAATCTATGTCTTTGTGTATGTGTGTGTTATGAGAGAGTGAGAGAGAGGCTTTTGAGAGAGGCCTCTCCTCCATGCTCTTTTTGTATCTCTCAGCCGGAGCTGTCCATCAGCACTGGCTCCCTCTTGTTGGCATAACGCAGCAGCACTTGGCAAAACATGAGTGAGCTTTCTTCCAAGCAGTCTTCTCTAACCAGTGCAAAGATCATGGTTATAACAATATTTTAATAACTACACTCAGGGCTCTTTTTGTAGCAGGAACTCCTTTGCATATTAGGCCACACACCCCTAATGTAGCCAAACCTCCAAGAGCTTACAGAGCTCTTCTTACAGGGGTTACTGTAAGCTCTTGGAGGATTGGCTACATTAGGGGTGTGTCGCTTAAGAGCCCCAACTACACTAATCCTGGACAGTACAGATACTTAGATTAGTGTCATGTGCTTCACAAGAGGCTGCCTTTGAAAATGGTCCAGAAACTTCAGCTCATCCAAAATGCAGTAGGCAGGCTGAGGTCAATGGTGGGATACAGGGATTGTATCACTCCATTGCTGAGATACCTGTACTGGCTGCCCATTTGTCTCCAGGCACAAAACAAAGTGCTGCTTATTTATCTTTAATGCCATAAACGACTTGGGGTCAGGGTGCTTGAAGCCTGCCTCCTCCCATATTGTCCAGCACACCAATTACAACCTGGCTCACAAGCTCTGCTTTCTGTGCTCCTACCTTCAGAGCTGAGGAGGGGGGCAATCAGAGAGAGGGCTTTTTCAGTATTGGCATCTCATTGGTTGATCTTTAAACACTATTTTTGTCTGAATGCTGTTATTTTAAGCTGTCTGTGATCTGTTTTAATGGTCTATGGTTTTGTGCTGGGCTGGGTTTCTAATGCTGGATTTTAATTAATATTTTTAATGTTTTGTTTTTATTGTCTTTATTTTGTAAGCCACCTCAGGCAGGTTCCTGGAGAGGTGGCATAAAACTTTTCTGAATAAATAAATGCTTGGGAACAATCCATAGCCATGCAGAATACTCCAACAGAACATGAAAAAGTATTTCACTGGCTAATCCTATACTTACAAGAGCATCTGCAGTCTCCTTCCTGGGAATGGGTCCAAGACCGAGACACAGACTGTCAGATCTTGTGCCCTATTGCCCAGAGTCTTGACATGGAACTGCAATCCAATCTAATGTATTTATAGACTTTTCTGTGGCCCAGGAATTTTTTCTTAGAGCCAGTCAGAATTTAGGGATGCAGGTTCAAAGTTTCCCTCCAAGTTGAGTCTTGACCAATCACTGCAAAAGTCTGGATTCCAGATATTTAGTCTGTGGAAGGGGGCACCAGTAATAATCCATCAAGGGCATTTGACATCTCAGCCAAATGGTGAAATTGATACCAGGATTCAGTTTCCTTTCCCAGCTCATTTGATGACCATATAGATGCCCTTCTCGTTCCCTGGGATGTAGCTGTGGATCTAATTTCTCTGTTCCAGTGGCTAAGCTGATTTTTATTGTAAAAGCACATTTATCCTTTCCTAACAGTTACATCTAACCTGTAGCCACCACAGGAACTATATGTTTTTATTGTATTGTTAAATATTTTTACATATACATTTTAAATATGGTTTTAATGTTTTAAATGTTTACATTCCTTGATATTTGCTGTTCCGGAGATCCTGTTTGGGTAGAAAGGCAGCAGCATAGAAACGTTTTAAATAAAATAAATACAGTAGCTGCTAGTTCCCCATGGGAACTCCATTCCAATGTCCTAGAGGGATCTGATTCAGATTGCAACCTCTCCCTTGCACTTTTTCCAAAGCTGAAATAGTTCTGGGGTGTTTGCGTCATTGGTGGGCTGCATGTAGATTTGCATAACCTTCATGGGCCATTTTGGGTTAGCAAAATGGCATGGCAGGGGATTGTTGAACCTCCTCTTCCCCTCATACCATGCTTCCAATAGGAATTGGCCCCCTGTGGCGTGTCAGGCAAGTCCTCGTGGTACTCATTAATTAGATGTTAACATCCAGTTTGGACCCCACATAGGATTCCCAGAAGATCTTCCATCCAGCTGCTGAATGGACACGGACTTATTTATTTATTTATTTATTTATTTATTTACCTATCCTCTATCTTTGCATATCAGGTGCTTTTAAAAGCTCACTGAACTGAAGCTTATGAAGTGTATTTTTTAAATCAATTCTGTACCAGCAAATACAGAGCAGAATGATGTGCATCTTTTAGAAACTGTACTGTACTTCCTCTTTGCAAATGTTATTTCTAGTCCTCAAAACATTTTAGGACCTTCGGGCATAGCCAGTCTTCCTTTCTAGGTAGAACTTCATGATTTGAGAGTGTGTTTCAGGGGAAAGGGTTAGTGAAGGCAATGGGAAATCAGCAGCAATGGAGAGTCCACACGGGACTTTGCTCTAACTGCCACCCTGCTCTAACTGCCACCCCTCCCCCTGGCTATTTACGATTTGTTTCTTGTTTTACAGCATCAGTACACGGAGCTGACTGGTAGCTGTAAGACTGAGAAAGCATCGGATCCCCAGCTGTGCTGTAGTCGGCACTTGCAGGTTGAGATTCACTCCCTTTGTCTCCTCTTTGGGACCCCCGAAGAAAGCACTGCGCTGTTGGGCTCCGGTCCCACTCTGCAAGCTGCTGCCACAGCCAGCCCTACCTTTGCTGCTCCCACTCACTATTCACCCTTCCAGGAGCAGCAGCATGGAGTGTGATACTGGAGGCCGACAGAGAAAGGCTCATGGGGGGGGGGGCAGTTCTGAGGAGAGGGGAGAAAAAGTAGGCCATTCCCAGTGTGCAAACACTAATCCCACCATAGCCTGCAGCAGGTGGTGGTGGTGGAGTCCCTTTCCTAGCATCTGTCAGCGAGCTGCCATTTCTCTGGGACACGTCCCGTCCCTCTTCCTTCCCTCCCCCCCCCTTGTTATCCTCTTCTGGTATGCTGCTGTAACTGCCAAGTGTCTCCTGCAGGTGGACGTTGGAGTGTTATGTCTTCTTGCCTAGCTTAATTACATTTCCCGTGTGAACTCAACTTGTGTTTATGGTATTAGCTGTTGTGGTTCTCAGGCTACTTCGCGCCTTTTCTAATCAGCTCCCTTGCGAGGGAATTGTACCCATTGGGTTAACCAAGTTTGAAGTTCCTATATTACGTTGCCCCTGTGTATTGTCTTTATTCTGAACAATCTCTGTATGTTCATGATCAACCATGCTTTGGAAATAAATCTTACTTCTTTGGAACGTGGGTTTGTTATCCTGACTTGGGATCTGACATTTTGTTCAGAATCCATTTTCCCCCTCACCCCGAGTCTGACATCGATCATGAGCGGGGCCGAAGGGAAATCCTTTTTCCGGGCAGAGGACCGAGGCGCCGTCCCGGCCACTGCCTTACCATCGGACTTCATGGAAGCCCGGGGTGCCGTTGGGGGAGCGATCCCGAGGCATGAGACTATTCCCTGGCCTCCTCCTACCCCGTCGCAGTGGGGGAAACGAGAGGTCAAAGCCTCAGAGGATTGGACTATGTTTGATACCCAAGGCACCAGGGAAACGTTTGCTCATCGGGGCAGTGGGCCCCGCGAAAGCCTTTTTGAACCGGGATCTTATCCTGAAAGACCTCGGAGTTGCCCGGCAGTGAATTATCGAGTGGAAGATGATTTCTGGCCGGACGAGAGAGCCGCGAAAGCCTTTTTGAACCGGGATCTTATCCTGAAAGACCTCGGAGTTGCCCGGCAGTGAATTATCGAGTGGAAGATGATTTCTGGCCGGACGAGAGA